TACCTGCTCACTCCTTGGACATCTCTGTTTGTACACTAAAGAGGGAATTTGCAAGTACACTTCACTAGCCCATCTTTTCTGTAATTTAGAAGAGTACTGATCTTGTATTATTTATTTTATAAATAACAAGCGATGTTAGCTCATTAAATTTTAAAGCAATTGTTATAATTTTAGAATGTTTGATTAAGTTTTTTAATTACACATAGTTGCTAATGTTGCTGTTGCAGAGAGTAGGTGAGTGTCTACAAAATGCTCTTCTTTCTACTTTGTGCCTTTTCCTTCTGTTTGCCCTCATGGCAGTCCAAGCCCAGGGAGCTTATTAGCATGTTGTCCAGAACCTTAAAACACTGTCTCTTCCTTGGCCAGATTGTTCATGCCAGCCTTGATGCAAACTGCAAAGAAAAGGAGAGTGTGTCTCTGGCCTCCTTCTCTGCGATTCTTCTTTCCATTCACACCTGCGTACCAAACATGCCTTCAGGAAGGAATCAAGTAAACTTAGGTAGAGTAAAGTAGAGGTGACATTTTAGCAGTAGAGCAAACCAAAGAAATGAAAATTTAAGTTCATGTGGAGTTTTAGCTTTTTAAAGTAGTAAGGTGCCTACTCCAAATACTCTGAAAGGCCACTTAGCCAAAAGGTTGGCAGTTCATGCCCACCTAGAGGCACCTTGGAAGATAGGTCTGGTGATCTACTTCCAAAAATCCTACAGAGTTGTTCTACTCTGCACCCATGAGTCATAGCTCAACGGCAAATAATAACCACCACCACAGTGGTAATTTATGTATCTTGTACCTTTAAACCCTGCCTCTTTCTTTCCTGTCCCCCACTTTTCCTTTTTCTCAAGTCTCAGCTGAAAACTGATCACTCTCAGGAAGCCATTCTGATTCCCTGTGCTCCTCCTCTACCGATGCCCTGACCATGTTATGTCATCATTTTCTGCTTATGAATGGGTCCCCTTCTCCTTTCCTAGACTGTTAGCTTCTCAGCAGCAGGATAGATCATAGTTCTCATTGTCTCCCCAGAGTCTAACACAGTGGCATTCAGACAACATTCAGTAAATAAATACATTTGGACTAAAGCAAATTGCATTCCTGCTTTTCAAAGAGGACAATACTATTTAAATGTGAAAAACATGATACTTTCTTTAAATGATAGGTGAAAGATTGTTCATTCCCTTCTGCTTGCATTAACTTGTTTCTGGATCCCAATCTTGGAGACACACCAGTAGGCAGGATGATAAAAAGAAATAGAATAAAAACATTTTGATGCTGGTAGTCAAGGAATGCCACATATACCCTGGCTGGAATGTAGCCTTGATGGCATAATAGTTAAGCACTTGGCCCCTAACAAAAGGTTGATTGTTTGAACCCACCCAGAGGCTCTGTGGGAAAAAGATCTGCAATCTGTTTCTGAAAAAATTACAGCCAAGAAAACCATATGGAGCAAGTAGTTGTACCATCACTTGGGGTCACTGTGAGTCAGAATTGACTCTACATCATCCAACCACCACCACCACCACCACCACCACTGGCTGGAAGTCCCTTCATGGGAAATGTGGTTTCTTTGGATGGATTATTCAACTTCAAAAGGGCTGTGCATGGATCCTTGCAATAGGAAGAAAGTAGTCCCTTCTAGCCAGAACATGTAGGTCAACATTGGCTCATCTAGAGAGGCGGGCTCTAAGAGCTTCAGCACCTTTTCCTCCAATAGGGCGGCTTAGGGAGGGACTGGAGCAGAGGAATGAATGGGTGGGATTTGATGAAAGTGGTGATACTATAAGCCTTTGCTGGCTTGCTTTATAACCTACAATTTCTTTACTCACTCATCTCTCCTCTATTCCACAATTCTATATTACATGGATACGCTTTTTTCTTGTGTTCTGTGCAGAGACTGATTTTTGTCTTTTCTTGTTTCTAAGGTGCATAAGAAAACAAATTATAACACCTAAGCTTTTATTCCAGGCTTTTCACCGTAGTTCTCTCTGAATGGGAACTAGCTTCCTTCTGTTTCATTTGTCCTGTTTTGCTTCTGTGGGGCTCATGTTCACTCTTTATTATTACTAGACTTATAGACATGCCTTTTAGGAAGTGTGGCTTCTCTAAGCTCATCAGTAACTCCTGAGTAGAGCTGAGTAACAGACTTTGAACACTGGTGTGCCCTAGACATGATCTCTTCTTTATGACATCTTTTCATGATTAAACTCTTAATCTAACTTCCTGGTGGTGAAGTGGTGGCGTTTGACTGCTATCCAGAAGGCTGGCGGTTCAAACCCACCAGCCACTCCTTGGAAGGAAGGTTGGGCAATCTACTTCCGTAGTGATACTGCCCCAGAAACCCAAGGAGGGGTCGCTATGAGTCACATCCGACTCAACGGCAGTGAGTTTTGTTTTGGTTTGATAATGTTGAAAAAAGATAACCTAGTAATGTTTGCCACCCCTGTCTTTCTCCAAGTAACATTGCAAGGATAATTAAGTGACATATATGTGAAAAGTTGTGAACTCAGTGGGAGAAACTATTAGAACCATTGGTAATAGTTTTAGTTCCATGCTGTTAGTATGTGATCAAGAATAAATTAATTTTGGAAATGACGATAATTTCATGTTTGAAGTTATTCCTATGGAAGGTATCATAAGGAAGGTTGGGCAATCTACTTCCGTAGTGATACTGCTTCAGAAACCCAAGGGGAGGGGTTGCTATGAGTTGGGTCTGACTCGGCACATAACAACAATAACAAGTGTCATAATTTGTTTTGATCTGCACCCTACAGGACACCTCAATTTATAGATTAAAAAAAAAATTAAAAAATTATCAGAAATTTTTTTTTTTTTAATTCTAGAAATGAATAAGTTTTTTTTTTTTTTTTTTTGAAAGGAGTTGATTAAAAAGATTTCTTTTCTGGGAATGTTATACATCTACAGTAAATAATATGGTAGCAGTTGGATGCCTTCACGTTCATGCAAAATAAATAAATACATTTGGTGTATTTACATTTAAGGAATGTAATTCTTGTAATTGTCATGAAAATAAGGAGCAACTTTACAGATGATAGAGATTTTACCATCTACTAGTAACAAAGAAACATAGCTTGCAATGTATGACTCTTACTGAGTTTAATGTATATAATGGTGTGCCAGGAATCAGAATTTTTTAAAACTTTAGTCAGTCATCCCCAGGGAAGCCGACCTGAATTTCACAGTGTCAGGGGAAAGGTCCTTTTGCTTCTAAAGCAAATGGCATGTTCTTTGCTATGTTGTGTTGCTTACATGGCAGATCAGGGAAGAAGGCTGAGTTTAAGTGAAAGACACTCTCTAGGCTTGTATGTTCCTGCACAAATTTCACTTGTAATCAGTGAAATGGTGGCCTCGGTGTAGAGGAAGCATTGTCTTTATGAGTCAAAACACTTGGTGTTGGAGAAGAAGCAAAAGTAGGGAGAGATGGAGGATGGAAGTTCAGAGTTTCTGCTACAATAACATTTGCTTTAAGCAGCTGATGTTTTTAGCTCCTAAGGACTGAAACAGGGAGTTCTGGTAGCATAGTGCCTAAGGCGTTTGACTGCTAACCAGAAGGCTGGCGGTTCAAACCCACTAGCCACTCCTCAGAAGGAAGATGGGGCAATCTACTTCCATAGTGATACTGCCTTGGAAACCCAAGGAGTGGTCGCTGTAAGTCAGGTCCAACTCGATGGCACATAACAACAACAACAATAACAACAACAACAAGGACTGAAACAGGACATGGGTGGATTGTAGTTCTAGTTAAGGACAAACAATGGGTAGGTTGCCTTTAGGAGGGGCTGAATGCTAAGTGGTAGCTGCAGAACTACCAACCAAGGAAGGATAAAAGAAACTAAAGGAAAGCTATCAGGCAAGTACTGCTTCTCTTTTTGGGTTTCATTTGCTTGACTCTGCAGAAGGGGAATGATTGTCATTTTAGGTATTCTGTTTTCATCTGAAGGAGCTCTGGTGGGGCAGTGGGTAAAACATTCAGCCACTAACCAGAAGGTCAGTAGTTTGATTCCATCAGCTGCTTTGCAGAAGAAAGATGAGGCAGTCTGCTTCTCTAAAGATTTGTAGCCTTGGAAACACAGTGGGGGCAGTTCTGCTCTGCCCTGTAGGGTTGCTGTGAGTTGGAATTGACTCAGTGACAGTGGGTTTGCTTTTTTGTTTTTTGTTTCATCTGATGATGGGAAGGACACTGCATGGCATAGCATTATGATGGACCTATAAGGGATGTCCAGAATATTTATATTTATAGATTGTGTACAAGTGGTCCTGAGGGTTATCTGTCTTTTATAGTATTAGATACCTAGCCTGGTTATGTAACCAGAACCTCATTGGAGAACTTTATCTTCCAGTGGTCTGCATCTTGGAGTCCTTTTGGTCCCTTTCAAGCTTTAAGGGTTTGGGGAGCGAGGCACATTTAGTTAATGAGGAACGGCTTCCCTTTCACCTCTGTGTTGTTGTTGTTAAGTGCCGTCGAGTCGTTTCCGACTCATAGCAACCCCATGCACAGCAGGACGAAACACTGCCCGATCCCATGCCAGCCCCACAATCCCTGCTATACTTGAGCCCATCATTGCAGCCACCGTGTCAATCCATCTCGCTGAAGGCCTCCCCCTCTTTCGTTGACCCTCCACCCTACCAAGCATGGCATCCTTCCCCTCTAATTCCATTGAATTGTGAAGTGATTTTTACTCCTTGACCCTGGAAAGCAATGAGCATGAGCTTTGCCTTGTTGATATTGGCTTTTATCCTTCTGCCTTTGCCTTGAATATCTAAGCCACATTGCAAAACAGACTGAGTTTGTGAGTTTATCTCTGTCATCTTTGTACCCCAGGATCCTTGTGCCCTTTCCCCTTGGCTTTTGGGGAAAATGCTGGAAACTCCTTTGCACTAAGATATTGATGAGGTTTAATGCTGAAAGCTCATGCACCCTAAAATACTGATGAGACTGATGAGGTTTAAAGTGTTTTCCCTTCTTGTGGTGCTTACATTTCTTACAGGGGTGAAGACATCTTAAACCAGAGGAATGACTCTCTAGTAGTGGAGTTTCAGTCGTCAGCCAGCAGATGCAGGAGGTATTATTTGGGGCATGGGGTGGGAAGGCTTCTCAGAAGCCCAGAAACCATCCTTAGTGACCACCTGCCTGCTTCATCCGTGTGTCAGGCCACTTCATGCATCACACCAGTCTTGTCTGTGTGGTTGGTGTGAGCTGGTTGAGGGCAGTGAGCATGCGTGTGGAAGTCTCTGTGAATGAAACACAGTGCAGTGAGTTCTTCTCAAGTAATTTATATACTGGAGAGGGGGATGAGTTGTGATGCATATGTAGTACAAGCTTTTCTGTTTAACTGCAGACATTGGTATTGGTCCAAAAGTTAGCACACACGAGTTCGTAGTAACACTAGAATTCTCCTTTAGGTTAAAGTGCACTTCATATATGAGTTGTGTGTCTACTTCAAAGCCATGAGATGTTCATGAAAGCTGGGTTTTCTTATTATGGATATCTGTAAGCAGGACAGCACAGTCATACACCTTTTCTATGAGATTGAAGCCTGGTCCTGTGAATAAGAGTGTCATTTCCATCCTGTGCCTCCTTTGTGCTGGGCACTGCCACCATAACCACCCAGAGAGTTCTTGGTGGTTGTAATGTTGAGGCTGTGAGCCTCTCAGTTGGCAAAGGATCTTAGAGGCTGCAGCCCCCCTTTACATGAAGGTCATTGGTTGGACTTCCAAATGTAATAACTTTGGGTAATGTACTAAGGATGAATTAAAATGCTAATAGGCTACACGTTCTGGGTATTTTAACATTCCCTAATCTTAAATTTAAATGAAATGCCTTAGGTGCTGTAACAGCCTTGCCAGAAGCATGTTCAGCTCACCCCTTAGACAGTTAATTTAAAGTACATTCTGGCCAAGTGAGCAGAGCTAGGAAGATGAGAAGTATTTTTATTATTAAGATTATTTTATTTGTGTTTCCTTCAGCTACATGACATAAATCCTTTCTCTTTGATTAAAGATAGCTACTTAGCTAAAAATAAATAAATAAATAAAAATCACCACTTTGCTAAGTTACTTTGAATTCACATATCTTTTAACTATCAATGACAATATTTTAATAGCAATACACTGGATTTTATAACACTTCAAACTGTTCCACAACCCTTTTATATATTACCTTCACCTTTAAGCCTCACAGCAGCACCATAAAACATGTCTGTTTTATAATGAAGACACTGGGTTACAGAGAGATCGTGTGGCTTTTCTGTCAGCACGTAGCTGGTTAGTAGAGAACCACAGTTAGTAGTGGGTGTCCAGATGCCCTGCTGTGTTGTCTGCTCACTAGTCCGAGTAGCAAAATGATGAATGGTCCCTTAAATCAAATGCTTCTGCTAGTGAGTTAGTACAGTGCTTGTTTTAAGGGATCTGTCCGTCCTTTCCCATTGGTAGTGGTTAGCTCTGTTGTCCACTCTGAGAGCAGATTTCTTTATCAGGGAGCTGAAAGAACAAGTGTATTTCCTTCCTTCCCTGAATAGTTCACTTCCTTACCATTAGTTGAATTAGCCCCTTTATTTTCTCCTTATTAGAGGAAGGAACACTTTATTTCTTCCTTAGTTCTTCCAGCTATCTGGTGTCTGGGCACTTCATAATTGTGTTTTGGGAGAATAGATATTAATTTTCTTCAACAAAAAGGCCCAGTTCCTTGATGACACAACATAATTCAATTTCCGTTCTCTCCCTTCATTGCCTGCACTCCTTCCTCCTGGCACATTTTTCATAGTTAGGAAGAGTGATTGTGTCAAATATACCAGAAGGAAGAATTGATTCAGTAGTAGTTTGACGACTTGACTGATTAACAGAGATCAGAAGAAGGCTCATAACTGTGAAAACCACTGTAGCATGGAGTTTTAACAGCTCTTTAGGAAGCTAGTTAATAAAAGAATCACTACAGAAACACAGCTACGCAAAAAAAAAAAAAAAAAAGGGAACATTCCCATATAACACTCAGAGGCTATGTCATAAGAGGAGATATGCTCATAATTTCTATTTACACATCACTGTAATTACCGTCTGCTGTAAGATTATTTTAAGTCTTCTCCTGTCAAAGTTGCTTAGATATTTCCTCTTTCACATATCAGGCAGAGAAGTCTAGTACAGGTTGAAACTTGTCCTAAGGACTTTTTCCCCCTGCAGAGTGTAATTATCTGGCACCAGAGCTCACATTGCCTGATTAGACTGGCTTTAATCCGATTCATGTTCTTGTTATCATCACCATTTGTCCATGAACCAGACTTCTGCACTTAGATGCATGTTTCATTGGGCTTTACTCTCTAATTTTTTGGTATGTGGTTTGTTCTCTTTTCTTTCTTCTGATGTAGTGTCTATGAACCAGATAGAAATGCGTTACGGAGGAAGGAACGAGAGCGAAGAAATCAGGAAACTCAACAGGATGATGGCACATTTAATTCGAGTTACTCCCTCTTCAGTGAACCTTACAAGGTAGATGATTTTCATTTCTTCATCACCACTCTTCATCCATACACCTGAGGCCCGTGTGATGGCAGTCATGGCTAAAGTTATTAACCAACCAGTTAAGTTGCTGCCTGTTTAGCCCAAGGAAGATAGCTACTAGATTTAGGGCCTTCCCCTGTAAGTCTTGGCATTGTGACATGTCTTTATTTGCTACTCTCTCCATAAAATGTAAGTTTTGTTTAATATTGAAGGAGCTCTGGTGGTGTAGTGTCTAAGGCATTTGACTGCTAACCAGAAGGCTGGCGGTTCAAACCCACCAGCCACTCTACAGAAGGAAGACTGGGCAATCTACTTCCATAAAGATTTACCGCCTTGGAAATCCAAAGGGAGGTCACTATAAGTCAGAATCCACTCAATAGCAGTGAGTTTGGTTTTTTTGGTTTGGTTTAATACTGAGATGTGCTTGCTGTGATTTTTATTAGTAATGTAGACTTAATTTTTGCATTAATTTGAAGTGAGAATTCCATTTATTTTGCTTTCTAAGCTCTCAGGAAACAACAACAACAAAGAGATTGAGTTACATATTTGTATGTGAGGGCTAATAAGAAAGAAACTGTTACATGATTTCTCATTTGTATCAAATGCCATAGAATAATCTTTCTTCTAAAACTAAAGATCTTCCTGGATTTCACTAATATCTTAGGCTTCATGGACCTATGGCTATCTCAAGCTGGTAGCTTCTTCTTGCATATTTAGCCCTGTTCCCTTTTAAGCTTCACCCTGGCTTTTGTTGCTTGTCAACTCTCAGTATCTGACAAGAATAATTATATATTTAGAAGTCAGAAGCAGAACAATTGTGAGCCAAATCTGAATTTTCAACAAGAGCTTCCAGTAGTACCACATAGAAAAGAAAATCCAATCCTGGCAAGATTTAATCCAGGCCATTTTGCAAAGTTGCAATAGCAAATTTTCTGATTTCCAGGGAATGTATTTTAACTGTAACATGATACCAAGGATAGATTCCTTTTTTATGTCCTCTAAGGCAGTTTCGGCTTCCCCATTCTGGTGCAGTGTAGAGTGCTGACAGACGCCTTCAGAGACTATGAGGATTTTCTTTTTCATCTCTCAGCTTTCATTCTTAATGTGGTAACTCTGGATTCTGTGGTCAGTAAAGGAACATTCCTTTATTGCAGTTGTTTCTCTTGTTTATCCTAATACTGTGGATGTTTTGTTTTCCTTTCTCCAGACTAATAAGGGGGATGAGCTTTCCAACCGGATCCAGAATACTTTAGGCAATTATGATGAAATGAAAGACTTTTTAACGGATAGATCAAATCAGAGTCACCTTGTTGGCATACCCAAACCTGGGGTTCCACAGACTCCCGTGAACAAGATCGATGAACATTTTGCTGCAGATTCAAGAACCCAGACCCAGTCCTCGTCTGTCTGTAGCACTGCATCTTCCACACCAGCAGCTGTCTCAGGGCAGCAGAGTAAGAGGGGGACTATGGGCTGGCAGAAGGCTGGGCACCCACCATCTGATGGCCAACAGAGATCAAGTAAGCATGGACACAGGTTGCTTGATTTGCACAAATCTGCTAACTCAAAGAACAGTAATAAAAAACCTAATCCCAGTGTGTTGAGGCCTTCATCCTCATCTTCTTCTTCTTGTTCTTCTTCCAACTCAGCACAACAGGGCTCTCTCAGGACCTTGCTTGGAGATGGTGTTGGCAGACAGCAGCCACGGGCCAAACAAGTGTGCAATGTGGAGGTGGGTCTTCAGACCCAGGACAGGCCATCTGCTATGTCAGCCAAGCACAGCAGCAGTGGTCACTGTGTTCAGAACTTCCCTCCATCTCTGGCTTCAAAACCCAGCCTGGTTCAGCAGAAACCAACTGCATATGTGCGGCCAATGGACGGCCAAGATCAGGCTCCTGATGAGTCCCCTAAGCTTAAGTCATCTGCGGAAACCAGTGTTCATTGCACATCCTACAGGGGAGTCCCAGCCACCAAGCCAGAGTCAGCCAGAACCAAGGCCAAGCTTTCCAAGTTCAGCATCCCTAAGCAAGGAGAGGTAAGTCTTCTTAATACCACTCACATATAACTTAGTAGTTATGAGTGATGACAGGTATAAATTGAATTTCCGTGTTTCTTTTTTTGCAGTGATGTGGTTGATTTGTATATGCTAAGATTTGTAACAGTAACTAAAGGGAGAGGCAGACATAAATAATGATTTTATAAAATCTTAAATTTATTATAATCGGAATTGGTTAAGTACCTTCAAATGCAATTGGGTATGTATGTCTGTGTGTGTGCATTAGTTGGGGAAATTCTATTTCAGTATATTCCAAGGGATTTTTTATTGAACAAGCCAATGTTATCTCAAATAATACACACTAGAAGAAAAGTACTTGAAAGACTATCATTTTTAATATGTAAACATGTTAATTTTTATGTGAAAGAGTTCAAAACTTCTAACAGTTCTGTCAGTTTTGGAATGTTTCAGGAGAAACTTAACAAAGTAAGATTTACAATAATTTTTAAGGTAATGGTTTAAGTATTTCAGTGTTGAATTCGGTGGGTATTCAAATGTATCAGATATTCTGTCCATGTGATGGTATTAAAAGTCCAGGTTCATTGATGTTAATCAGCATTTCTACTTGAACTTTTCGAGCCCTGTAAAAATGGTGTTAGGTTATATGAAGTGGGTGAAACCTTTTAGTTCAAATTCTTAGATTTGCATTTGATTTTATTCTAAAGTTTTTGTTCATTGTATTACAAAATGTGTGGAGTAGATTTATTGAGTATTAGAATTCTAAACAAGCAAGTTGCATAATCATGAAGGGAGCAAAGAGGCAGAGACTAGTTACTTGAACAGTAAATCTGGATGGAAAATGAACTTTTGTTTTAGAGAAGCACATCTAACACTATGTGCCAAATTGATGGTAGTTGTCAAGAGCACATGAAGAAGAAATATGACCATGGATTTTTTTGTTTTGTTGTGATACAGTATACTAAGTAAAATTAAGTATGAGTACTAGAACATTGTACTTAGGACCTGTTCAGTTGGTATTTTTCTTTCTTTTCTGACATTATTATTCTTTAAAGACTGAGTAACAATGTGAATAGAATAGTCTTTGTTTCTTAATTTAATCTAATCACCAAATGAAACAAATGATTTGACATTTCTTATTGCATTTCTGACAAGTCTGAGCTTAAATATTTCTGAGCTATCATCTTTAGAAATTACTGTGGACCATTTGGGAGATCAGCATATTAATACCCTTAGAGAAGGCATCTTTTTTACTCTGTGAGATGCTTACATATAGTGTAAAATGGCAGAAATAATAATAGCAGGAGCATCAGAACTTGTTTAACTTCTGGGGGGATAATGTGAATCAAGATTAGCCCACAGCTGATTTCCCATGAGGTGGAGGTCAGACATACCTCTGACCCTTTTTATCAGTTCTGACAAAATGGTCCCTCCCACAGCATCCTCTACTTCTCTTCTGGGTTCAATAATTATTACAATGGCCACACAGAACTCAAAGACCATTCTTTTACAGTTAAGCAATTTATTAAGGAACAGGGTATAATTCAGGATGAGGATCAGATTCAGAAAGCATGTAGGCAAAGTCGCCCTTCTTCAGTGCAAAATCGCTCTCTCAGTTCCTCTTTACCATGTAGGCCTCCTCTCAGCTTCCTGAGGACAGGCTTCATTTGACCATTTGACTCTGCTGTCTTTTCCCTCCTGCTCTGCTGCTGGACCCCTTTTGGGCCTATGCCTTCAGGCATTGCCACTGCACCTCTTACCAGTCTCTTGCACTCTTCAATGTTACAGCCTTTTCACCTGTGTTACAATTCTTTTAGGAGGTTCCTTGCTTCCTCTCTCTTTTTGCTGCTTCTCTCTTCTTTGTTTCTTCTGCTGCTTCTTGCTGCTTCTCTTCCTGCTTCTTTCTGTCTAAAAACCCCCAGAGGGCTGGCAGTTAAATATACAAACTGTTCGTCAATTTCAAGGAATGGCACTCCCACCAGGGCCATGAACTGATTGAACTGACCAATCTCCTCTTGGTAGGGCATAGACACTTTATTTGTATAGTAGGCCAAAACTCAGAACATTTGCATAGTACATACCAATCCCTGCAAGGTACATACCAATCACAAGGCAAGCTGCAGGCCAGGCAGAAAGTATCAAACCATTATTATTTTTATTATTTTAATTTTATCATGCTTTTGTGCAAATTTACAGAGCAAAATTGGTTTTACATTCAACAGTCTGTGTACATTTGATTTCACGGCCCCAATTATCATCCGTGACCATAGCAAGCTCTCCTCCCCTCCAGTCCCTGTGACTACCCTCTCCCTGTGCCCTTGTTAACTATGCACTCCTGTCTGTCCAGCTTTCCCTCTATGTGAATGCTGCCCCTCTGGTGCCCCATGGCTGATTGCTCTAAGGGGTGTATTGCCCTAAGCAGGTGGGTGCATCGTCCTGGGGTAGGTGTTCTGGATGTAGGTCTTTCTACTGTTGGGCTAAGTGAATCTAATTCTAGGCCCGCAGGGTAACCCGGGGCCATAGCCTTGGGGGTTCCACCAGACTCTATCTGACCAGTAATTCTGGTCATTTTTGTGTTTTTGAATTTTGTTCCACATTTTGCCTCCGCTCTATCCAGGATCTGCAGTTTTGATTCCTTTCCGAGAGGTTGGCATTGGTAGCTGGGCACCATCTAGTTTTTCTGGTCTCGGGGTCCATCATATCCTTGGACTAATTGTTTCCAGTGTGATTTTCTTCACTCTTCTTTGCTTCAGTTGAGAAGAGACCAGTAGTTGCATTTTAAATGGCTGCTTAAAAGCTTTTAAGACCCCAGCCACTACTCAACGAAGTAGGTTGTGGAACAATATTTTTATGTACTACGCTGTGCCAACTGAGCTTGGTGTCCCCTGAGACCATGGTCCCAAGTTGGCAGGCCAGTGATTCTTTCTCTCAAGGTTTGATTGTCTCTGAGAGGTTACTCCAACTCTCTTTTGTTGCTTCTGTAATCTGTGTGGCTAATTTTGTAGCACAGGTGCACATGTAAGATTATCTTCATCTAAATCTATCCTTGGTCTAGGGTATATTCCTTTTGGCCAACCCCACCTGATCTTCTCTCCTGTCTATGCACTTATTCCTAGCCTGGTGTTTGGTGTTAGTGGTAATGCAGTATTGAGCATATACTAGTATTTGCCTCTGTTGTCTCTATCTTATATGCATATTTCCTTATCCTTCCTTTCCCCAGTGTCATCATGCTGGTCACAGACTCTTTGCATATCATCCCTGCCCTCACACAAATCAACATGTGACCCCCAACTAGTCTGAAATTTTCCCTCCCCTTCCCTTCCATCCCAATGAACCTACAAAGTGAGTTTTCTTCCATAAGTAAGCCTTTCCTTGACTTTTTACAATAATGGGCTCATACAATATTTGTCCTTCTGTGAATGACTCATTTCACTCAGCATAATATCTTCCAAATTCATCCACATTGTGAGATGATTCCTGTATTCTTTATTATTCCTTAATATAGCTTAGTATTCCATTGTGTGCATGTATCATAGTTTGGTTATCTGTTCATCTGTTGGTAGGCATTTAGGTTGTTTCCATCTCTTTGCTATAGTGAATTGTGCTGCTATGAACATGGGTGTGCATATATCTGTTCGTGTCTTGTCTCTCACCTCTTTAGAATATATTTCCAGTAATGAAATTGCTGGATCAAAAGGTATTTCTTTTTTCAGTTTTTTAAGGAAATGCCATACCACTTTGCCCAGTGGTTGTACCATTTTGTAGTCTCACCAGCAGTGTATGAGACTTCTAGTCTCTCCACAACCTCACCAGCATTTGTTGTTTTCTGTCTTGTTGAACTTTGCTATTGTTCCTGGGGTGAAATGATACCTCATCATTGTTTTGATTTGCATCTCTCTAATGGCTATTGATCATGAGCATTTCCTCATGTGTTTGTTGGCTGCCAGAGCTCTGGTGGTGTAGTACAATAAGGCATTTGACTATTAACCAGAAGGCTGGCACTTCAAACCTGCCATCACTCCTTGGAAGGAAGGTTGGGCAATCTACTTCCATAGTGATACCACCTTGGAAGCTCAATGAGGGGTTGCTATGAGTTGGATCCGATTTGAAGACTGTGGGTTTTAGTGAAGTGTCTGTTATGTCCTTTATCCATTTTTGAATTGGATTGTCAGACCATTATTGTTTACTCCTTACCCAGAAAATGTCAGTCAACCTGGGCAAAAGCAACAAACCCTCTGGGGTAGAAAACTAGGGCAAAGATAATTCCTCAGGGCTTAAGGGAAAAAAAAAAATCTCCCAAATTGTTTTACTAAAGATGCAAGGCAAAAGGCCATAAGAGGAACTCATTTCACTACACATAGTTTCTAATGAGGTAATTGAATGACATGTGTACCAATAACTTCTTTTAATTATTAATTTATGATGGATTGCAGAACGTGTTTATTAACAATGAATACAGGCAAAATACAACTTTAAATTTCTGCAAATATTTATGTTTTTACAAGTTGTAGTAAATGTGTAGATACTACTACCTTACAAAACTGAATTTCATTAAACACTTTAATTTTTGTCATTATCATAAAATTTCAATTTACACCAGCAATAAAAGCAAGGTTTTATCGTTGACCAATGTGCTAACTCTTTCAACCATTAAGAATCCCTTTATAAATTTACTCTAAATTGATTCCTAGTTAAAATGACTTTTTTGTCAGCCAAAGAAACATCAGGTTTATTAGGTAAGAATATATTTGTTAATTACGTAAACAAGTGAGTTGATTAAACTCCTTAAAAGGAAAGGATTACTATTTTCAAAAGCCACTACAACCTTGTGCAGATACGTATGCAGTTTTCATAAAGCTTTTGGGGAATGTCATTAGTAACTTGGACTGTTTTCATGATACCCTTCCAGGACACTGGCTTGGAAATGATACATTTGTACTAGTTGATGTTCAGTAATCACACAAAGAAAGTGATGCCTGAAACCCAGACAGTTATACTGAGAGAAATAAGAGCTTTTATAC